AATATTTTTACGGTTCTCTCCTCTTGGCTTGTAACATACTGATAATGATATTGTATATTGCACATCCAGACATCTTATTATAGTTATGATTAGAGGACACTTCTATATCAAATATCAAATATAGCATGGTATCATAATTTACAGACAATTAGAGAAGATTTTCTCACTATTTAGTCTGATTTTGGAGTATTCAACTTCCTGATCTATTTTTTTATATTTGTTTTAATCCCATGGTAGATAATACCAAACATTGAATAACTTTTATTGATAAGACTTCTTAACATTATAATACAGATACAGAATAAATATATGAAAAATTTTCTGTACTACTTCAAATCTTCAGTAATTTTTCTTTTTAGAGGCATTTAAAGTTACTAAATTATTTATTTAAAATGTGTTATCATTAAATTCAATGTCCCCCCTCTCAGCATTTGCAGAGAGCATTGCTATTGTGAAATGTTTAAATGTGGTGAAGAGGAGTGGTCACCCACAGAATGAGGGGCTAGGTAGTTATTCACCATGGTAGTATGATTTTAATCCAATGCAACAATGATTTTCTGAGCAGCTATACAATGGTGGGTACTAAGCCAGCTGCTGAGAGCCACTCAGGAGTCCTCTCCTTGGCAAGTCTAGCAAGAGAATCACTCTTTTGCTGGAGTGGAAGATTTTGCACGTAAGCTCTCCTAGTTATTGAATAGTCATTGAATATGGTGTATAAAATGGACAGTGTCCTGTTGCTTTGAACAGAAAAGAGACTTGGTACCAAATCCCATAATAGAACTTAAAGAAAGAATGAGGTGTGTGGTTGGTAGAATCGCTAATGTAAAGTGACTTAAACCTAGGACATCTATTGTTATTTCGATTATTTTTTTAATTTAAAGTTTATTAAAGCATAGTTGGCATACAATATTATATTAGTGTCAGGTGTATAACACAGTGATTCAACGTTTATATACTTTATGATATGATCACTCCAATAAGTCTAGTAACCACCTGTCACCATGCAAAGTTATTACAATGCTACTGATTATTTCCCCTAGGCTCTACATTATACCCCTGTGGCTCATCTATTTTATAACTGGAAGTTTGTATTGTATATCCTAGTCTCCTTCCCCCTTTTTCTTCCACTCTTTCTCACCCCACCCCCCAAGTAATCATCAGTTTATTCCCTGAATACGTTTCTGTTTTATTTTAGTTCTTTAAGTATATAACTAATGTTTTACTCCTTATGCATGTATTACTTAGATTTACATATTAAAGAATTGATCACAAAGCTACTAGTAATACTTTTATATGTATGTATGTAAGTAAATGCATCTTTTACTATTGGGATTAGTAACTCTTTTCTCTTTGTGGAATTTCTTTTTTTTTAATTTTTAAAAACATAGTTTATTGATTTTTTTACAGAGAATTTTTTTTTTTTTCAGATAGAGAGTAACATCCATGAGAGAGAAACATCCCTCAGCTGCCTCCTGCATACCCCCTGCTGGGGATATGCCCTCAACCAAGGTACATGCCCCTGGCTAGAATCAAACCTGGGGCCCTTGAGTTTGCAGGCTGGTGCTCTGTCCACTGAGCCAAACCAGACAGGGATTTGTGGAATTTCTTATGGTGTACTTGAAGTACTTCAGTACTAGAGTAGCATCATATTGTGTTATTAAATGAACTGTAGCAAGTCATAACGCTCATTTAGCATTTGTTAAATAAATAAGGTAAAGATGTGGTTTTCTTCTCTCACTTTTAGGGTTTGTATAACATTATAAGAGACACACAAATACATTCAACTACTACTCTGATTAATGTCTGTTTTCAGTGATTTATTTTGTCTACATTACAAATTTTGCGGAGGCACATTTTGCTTTCAACTTCTTTTTTATCTTGTCATCTAGTAAAGTTTCTTTTTTATTGTATTTGTTTTTATTTTATTTCATTTATTTATTTGTTAATCCACTCCAGATGATATTTTACCATTGCTTTTCAGAGAGAGTAGAAGGGAGAGAAGGAGAGGAGGAAGAAAGGAGGGAGAGAAAGACAGAATGAGAGCAAGAGCAAAAGAGCGAGAGAGCGAGAGAGCGAGAGCGAGAGCGAGAGAGAGAGAGAGAGAGAGAGAGAGAGAGAGAGAGAGACAACAATGTGAGATACATCAACTGGCTGTCTCCCAAATGTGCCTTGACCAAGGGTGGAGAGTGAACCTTGCAACCCAGGTATGTGCCCTTGACTAGGAATCAAACCTGTGACCCTTTGGTGGGTGGGCCAACACCCTAACCACTTAGTGTCACTGGCCAGGGCCAGTAAGCTTTCTTAAGTGGCATGAATTTAACATCACCATCTCTGCTTAATATTTTTATTATTATTAACCAGAGACTCAATGCAAAAAATTAGTGCAAGATTAGGCCTTCCTTCCCCTGGCTGCCAGCACCAGCTTCCCTCTGGCACCCGGCACCCAGACTTCCCTCCGTCTCCAGCAGGCACCTGGGATCTGGGCTTCCCTTGCAGCCCCAGCTTTATCTGGAAGGTCGTCTGGAAGGATGTTTGGAAGGACATCTGGTCTAATTAGCATATTATGCTTCTATTATTATAGATAAATTTAGAGAGAGAGGAAGAGAGAGGGAGAGAGAGAGAGAAAAACATTGATGTCAGAGCTCAATATGGATCATGGATCAGCTGCCTCCTGCATGCCCCCTACCAGGGATTGTGCGCACAACCCAGGCATGTGCCCTGACTGGGAATCAAACCAGTAACCTTTCAGTACAAGGGACAATGCCAACCAACTGAGCCACACTGGCCAGAGCATCACTGCTTAGTCTTAAAGGACCTGAAAGAGATGGTGTCTTCAACCTGGATTCACTAATTTTTTTCTGGTTTCCTCAGGAAAGCTGTGAGGGAGAGCACAGCAGATTCAAGGAAGGAAAGTGAGGGAGAAGGTGCATTTTTTCCTTCTTATGCTGGCATTGCTCATTATGAAAAGATGCAGCTAGTCTCTGGAATGAAGTGGGAAATGGAGAGTACTGAGATGGGAAATGGGATAGGGAAACACAATTAATTTCCCTGACATAATGTTATAGCTTGGTTTCACTTTTGAAGAAAGTGTGGTAAATCCCTAGAACAATGAAAGAACCAAATCAAAGTATATGTAACATAGAAACACACTGTAAAGCTAAATAGAATTCTTAAAAATTACTTACCCAGTGGAATAATTAGAACCACTCTCTGTCACCATCCCCATTAGACTAGACAACTGAAATGAGTTCTAGCTAGAGTATGGGCCTGTGTATGCTTCCTTCTCTATAAGTTAATTTTGTTAAATGCAATAGAAGGGCATGGGTGCTTTAAGAAGAATGTAGACATTGCTGGTTCCTGAGCTGTAGCTACCTGAGAGCCAACGTGTACCTGGGTTGAGAAGAGATGAAGGTGATATGTGAGAAGACGACAGTGAATTAAGAGAGGTGAGCATGCCTACTACTCGGCATTATACTCAAGCAGAAGTTCAAGTGTTGTTGAGGTATACTTAGGATTTACACGGCCTTTATTGTGTGTGCTGTTTGGTAACAGATGGTAAACAGATGACTAATTATTATATATTTTATACAACCCATCTAGGAAAATCACTTTGATACCCCAATGAAGATGCCCACATCTATGGAGAGGGCGAGAGCTCTTCTTTCTGCTGCAGGGACCTGCTGTCCAGATGTGCGTGATGCTGGATGACAGCTGGCTCTGCCTAGGATCCTGCGAACCAGGACTCAGTGGGCTTAAAGAGAAGCTCTCTCCCTCACAGCAAACATTGCTCCCAATCCACTGAGGAGCAAATATGGAGCAAAGTGAGGATCTGGGGGTGAAAAAGAGGGCAGGAGGACAAGAGGAGTGCAGGGGACCAGGACAGTGCAGCCCGGCAGCTGAGGACCACAGTGTTCCCAGATCTTCTGTAGAGATGCTCTCCTAGGAGGGTGCTGAGGGGTGTGAGATAAAGGAAATCCCTCTATCTAAGCGTTGCAGTGGGTGTTCTCTACATTAGGAGAGTGTTTACTTAGCCAGCAAACACTCTAGAAGACCTGGAGAAAGAGGAAGATCAATTATTCACTTTGAAGTGTTAACTAATGTCTCCATTGGCTTTTCTGGACTCCTACCTCGCTGAGGGAGAGCTTAGGGATACCATCTCAGGGGTGTGATGGAGATTCTTTAGGGGCTTTGGGCAACCAAGTGCAAAATGAGAGCACTGGGCCCCAGGGGATGGAAGGAATATGCATCGGGTCAGGAGGAAAATGTGTTAAGGGAATAAAGGAGGGTGGTAAGAAGCTAAGAGGGAGAGCGTGTGTATAGCATATGGGCCTTGGTTCATGCACTACAAAGTCCGAGTGTCTGTGGGGCATTTAGCTAGGCGCTCTGTTGGAAATTACTCTGGGAACTCCACTGGCAAAGGAATTCATGCCAATCAAACTTACACGTGACAGATGACTGCTTCCGATGTCAGTTTCTTCATTCACACGCAGTAAGATGTGTAGGGTTCTGACCAATGAGCTCCCAACAAGGTCTTCCTTCACTGGGGAAACCTGTGTAACTCTGGCCCACACCTGACGATACGCCCCTCTTCCAAGTGCCTCTGCCTCTGGCTGTTGTGTGGTCTGCTGCCCGTTGCCCACCGTGCGGTCCTGCTCTCTGTATTTCCTTTGCAATGCACTTGTTCTTATTGGGTCAGAGTGCCCATTCTACTGACCCACTCTAATAACCCTAGGTCTATGCCACCAGAGAGACAATGTCTAGCTAATTGTGGCAACATTGATCAAAAATAAGTTTTGGTCTGTATTGTTGTGTTTTTTTTTGTTGTTTTTTTTTTGAGTAACCTAATTTTCAGACATCCTGTGCTTTTGGGAAAAGTCAAAACTATGTATTTAAGAAGCCATAGACTCCTGACTCCTTCCTATTTTAATGACAATGAAGCATTCCGGTGTGATGATAGATCTGTCACTGGGCCTTTGCAGGCCACAGTAAGGAGAGTGCTTTAAAGTCATATGGCACAAAATGAGGTTTGTCTGCTGTGCCCCAATCTACATTGTATCCTATGAATTCTCTTTACTAAAGAACACACATAGTTCATACCGAAGAAAAACTGAACAGGAGAATCAGGATGTGTTATGGATCCACAGACACTTTTTAATGTAATTTAAGGGGAAATATCAGTGTCAAAAATGATACCTCAAAGATAACAGAAGATTCAGAGGGCAATGGGTCACTAACGTTCCTCAAAGGCTCCACTGGCAGGCAGGTTGTCTCATTAGAATATGGTCCCCGGGCAACAGTGCAAATAAATGCCATTGTCCATTAACAAAGTGGGGGGGGGGGCATGATGGCCTATTTTGAAAATCCAGTTCCGAGTGACTCCCACACCAAAGACAATCTGTGGGATACAGAACCCCAGTGAAAGAGAAGCAGAGATGTTCTGTGGTGCATCCCTCAGTAAGCTCGGCGGCACTCGTACGACCCCCACACCATGCCCCCGTCTTCTTTGGCCCAAGGAGAAGGGTCCTGAAGGGCAGAGGCATCTGACCCCTCTTCTGGGGAGAGGGGCACTGCCTTGGGTGGCAGGTCATTGGACACTGTGGTGAAGGGGGCAAAGGGATATGGGGGCGGGGTGGGGTACCCTGGTGTGTGGTACAGATCCTCCAGGGCATGCAACGAATAAGACTGAGCCCCAGCCAGGGGAGATCCCCAGCTTGAGCTCCGGTGCTGGGCAGTGCTCCCCGACTCCAGCTGGGAGAGGCAACTCGTGCTGGGTGGCAAGGTCTGCAGAGAGTCGGTGGGCACAGAGTCAAGCTGGCTGAGGCCATCCGCCACTGTCTGCTCCCAGGAGTCTCTCTGAGGGGAATGGAAAGGTCACCACGGTTAGTCATTCCATGAGACTCTGATGTAAACAGCCTTCCTCCCAGCACGGGGTGCTGCTCAGAGAGGGCTGGGTGTCCTCCCCGTCCGAAGCCTCCCGGCCTGCAGCCTTTCCCTCTGGGATGGACATAGCAATGAAGCTGCAGTTTCCCTGTAGGTAGTAAGATTCCTTTCCCAGACCACATGAAATGAGTGAAATGGGAGCATAAGAAAACGAATGTTTATCCTGCAGTTTGACATTTACAATGCACCATGTCCTCCATTCTTTTTGAGCCTCACAACAGTCAGGGTCCTAGAAAGCCTTTCCACAGTGGGAAGTCCGGCAGCGGCTCCTGGAAGGAGTGGGCCTCTGGGCTGCCAATGGGCGTTTGAGTGGACCGGGAAGGACACCTGCCTTGCTGAGCAAAGAGGTGGAGATCGCATTGGCTCAGGATGGAAAGATTATGATTCCTATCATCTTCTATCTTGACACTAAGTTCTATCTTTCTATCCTGTCACTAACTAGGTTCAGTCTTCCATCTTGACACTTAGTAGGTTCAATCTTCTTTCCATCCTGTGACACTTAGTAGGTTCAATATTGCCACCCTGTGACACTTACTAGGTCCATAATTTCCATCCTGACACTTACTAGGTTCCTGATGGAGCACTCACTTTGTTTAGCTGTGAAATGAGGCTTTAAAAACTATATCCTGGGATGTTGCAAGGAGTAAATGAACAAAGGCACAGAAAAGTTCCTGGCTGGCGTAGATGCTTAATAATGTCCTCCAATCTTTATTTAAAATCCCATTTTTAGAGAGATTCATTCCTTGGAGGGTGAAGGCTTCCCTGTTTTCTCTAAGGAGGGTGTTGGTGTTCAGAGCTGCACGGGCTCCCCTTTGGAAGGACGCAGAGAACAGGCTGTGGGAGGGGCGGATGGGGGTAGGAAGCATGGCGGGAACCACTCCGACCCACCCCGCCCACAGCACTCAGGTGCCTGGTCTGAGGTGTAAGGCCCTCCCCTTGCGCTGGGGGAGCGATGGATGGGAGAACACCTTCAGAGAGTGCCCTGGAGGGCATCTGTCCTGGCATCTCTGGGGGCAGGTGCAGGGCAGCCTCAGGGGTCTCCAGGGTGACCACACCGGGTCTCAGTTCTGCTACCAAGCGCTAGGGCTGGCCGGACCACCCAGCCCTGAGCTCAGTCACCCCCTCAGTGAACTAGCTGCATACTCACCAGCACGAAGTGTGTGGGGTCGCTGGGGAGGGGTGGTGGCAGCAGCGGTGGCAGGGCCGAGGCCCCGAACAGCGGGCTGGCGCTGGAGGTCAGGGCCTGCGGGCGGTGGTCCCCGTAGGGCTCGGGGAAATAGGAGTCCAGAAGGGCGGGGTGGCTCTGCCCGGCAGAGGAGGGCTCGCAGGGAAAGGGCCTGGCCACGCTGGCGGCGCACACATCGTTTGCAAACTGCTTGGTGCCGTGGAAGTCCGAGTCAGACAGGAAGGACCTCCGGACGCCATAGTAGCCTGACATGACCGGTGACCCTGTTGCCAAGTGAGAAGCAAACAAGCACTCACTTCCTCCCAGGAGAGGCAAGGTGTCTGTGGCACATGCTCCAGCACATGCTCCCATCCAGGCCGCCTTTAGATAGATACACGCCTCGAGCGTGTGAAGTGTGGCCACATGACCTCTTTCATGTGGTCCAGCCCAAATAATGATATGTTTGACGTTCCCTCTCCTTCGCTGATGAGTTCACTTTAGATGGTGCAATAGCTATTGGATGGTTCACTCCAATAGGTATTGATCCACAAGAGCCTGCGTCTGGCATATTATCTGAGATTCAGTGACTCTAGATAAGGTGATACTCTGATCCCATCCTAATCCCCAGGTAGGTTGTATTCTTCCTCTAATCCTGTGTGTGTGTGTGTGTGTGTGTGTGTGTGTGTGTGTGTGTTATCAATATATATTATTGATTTCAGAGAGGAAGGGAGAGAGAAAGATAGAAATATCAATGATGAGAGAGAAATACTGGTCGGCTGTCTCCTGCAGGTCTCCTACTAGGGACTGAACCCGCAACCTCGGCATGTGCCTTTGACTGGAATCGAACCTGGGACCCTTCAGCCCATAGGCGGGCATTCTATCCCCTGAGCCAAACCAGCTAGGGCTACTCACTGACTTTTAACACCGTGTCTAGCACCCACCTACCTGGCTTGCTTTGGAATGATATGGCTTCTGTGAAATCTAGTTAGGGGAAGGACCACAAAAAATTGTCAGGCTTCAGGAGACCAGTGTTATTTGCTGCCCTCTTGTGGCCATAGTGTGGCCACTGCACGCTTGGGAAGAGAATGCATGGCAGTTTCTCTGGGGGAAACAGGGGAAGAAGCTAAAACTAAGAGTCATATGTAAGACTAAGGCCAATGCAATGGACCCAGAAGGGAAAAGAGGTGTTTGCTAAGGACTTTATGACTCTGTAGCACGGTCGCAGCAGGAAACAATCACTGAGAACGTGCTCAGGGATTGGACTCAGTTAAACTGGCCTGCACATGGTGGATGTGCTCCTATCGACCAAGACTAACACCTGGAGGCCACAGAAGGGCTAAGGTGGGAGGAAGATGCAAATGCTTGACTTTCATATCTCCCCTCACCCAACCAGTGACCACTTCTGATCTTTGCCCCTGCCACCCTGCCCACTCGTCTGTAGGGACAGAAGTCAGACTGTCCTTTGTACCATGACTCAGTCCTAGGTCACTCCACACACAGCACTTTGGCCTTGTCACATGATGTGGCTCTTCATGTTATGCTCACTACTCTCCCACCTGAGTTAACCTCTTTCGTACGAGTGCCCTGCGGGCAGAGCCTATATTTTTGTACATTTTCTGTAAACACGCTATTTTATTACTGTGTTCAACAGTTACATCTAAACGCACTCATTCATCCAGAAGCACTTGTAGAAACATATAGCACAATGCTATCCACTCCATTTTTATCTTAAAATGTATAGCCCCGCACTTCTAATTTGCTCATTAGTTCGAAAGCTACAGTGAGGGGTTTTATCTTAAGCACATTTCTCTAGGGTAGGGGTGTCGAACTCAATCAGAGAAGGGGCCAAAATCTAAAATCCAGCCTAAATCGCGGGCCGAATGGTTTACTGAACAGTCATAAACTGTCATTGTGATGGAAACGCAGCGGAGTGCAGTGATGACAGCGCAGTGCGGGCCACATTGCAAGGCCTGGCGGGACGGATTTGGCCCGCGGGCCTTGTGTTTGACACATGTGCTCTAGGGGGTGGGGAATCTGGAGCAAATGAAAATCAGAATCAATACCTAAGGTTCTGTCTCCTACCACAGCGCTATATCCAAGGGAGTGGCTATGGCCGAGAACAGAATTAAGACTATGTCCACGGGTCCCAGGGTCTTACGTTTATATTTCTAATCTTCAAATAAAAACAACCACAAAGAAAGACCCTCGCTGTGTTAAGCAATTTTTTTTCTTCTTAAGAAGAGGAAGAATAATTTTAGGTGGTAAGAGAAGCTATGTAAGTTTTCCTTATATAAAAAGGAGCAGAATTCAGTGACAATAAAATGTGAATGGGAAGCACAATAGGGGCATTCAGAAATGTGAACCTTCTGCTTATTCCTTTCCCTATCTATCTCTAGAAGTTCCTAAAATTATTAACCGTGATGGCACCTCTGAGTTTGGGATCTGGAAAGAATGTGTGTGTGTGCTCCTAAGAAAGTGCCCACCGCTGTCATCAGGAATGCCCCCGATGGGTCCCCATAGGGGCATTTAATGAGACATATGTATTGAAATGAAGACAAGACACTTAACCCAGTGCCTGACTTATAGAGAGAACTCAATATATGCTTGTTTCCCACCTGCCCACAGGTCTCTATTCTTGTGTGCTAAAGCAGGTGCATAATCCACCAGGTCATGGTGCCAGAATTTTAGACCTTTTAAAATGCCATCAAGAGCCTATATGCTATTGCCTTCACCCAATAAGCTTCTGCTAGGCAGATGATCCAAAGGCTGCCTGCAAGACAGCATGAATTCTAAGTTTAGGAGTAACTGAATTAGCTCTCTCGTCACTGAGTTTATATTTTAAAAACCACTATTTTAAGGAGGCAACATTTGAAATGTGCTGTTGGATGGTTATAAAAGAACCAGGGCCCAGGTGTCCCATTGAAACTCAAAAGGGAATGGGTGAATCGCTCGTTGGGCTGAAGTACTCACCTGGCACCTGGACAAATGGAGACGGAGAGGAGCCGACGCTGCCCTGGAAGGCAAAGACAGCGAGTGTTTCCTTCGTTAGTAGCATGTTTGGATTTAAAGAAAAAAGGTCAGGGGTATATTTTACAAACCTTACTTTCTGATAGGAAGGAGCACTGTTTAGGGGGCTAGAGTGATGGGAGTTAACTGACACTATGAATGTAAGGACTGGAGAACAAAGTTTTACGGGGAACAAAGATAAATCAGTTTTAGACTCTGTAAGCATGCCAAAAGGCACTGGCTAGATGAAATGGACTAATTTACCCTTTGCTTTTTACTGTTTGTATTAATATCATTCATCAAAACTCTATCAAGTACTAGAGGCACAGTGCACAAAATTCATGCACAGGGTGGGGGGGCCGTGTCCCTCCATCTAGCCTGCACCCTCTCCAATCTGGGACCCCTTGAGGAATGTACAACTAACTGTTTAGGCCTAAACATCCCTCTCACAATCCAGGACTGGTGGCTCCCAACCACTTGCCTGCTTCTGCCTGATTGCCCCTAACCACTTCCGCCTGCCAGCCTGATCATCCCCTAACCACTCCACTGCCAGCCTGATCAATGCCTAACTGCTCTCTGGCCTGCCCAAATGCCCCTAACTGGCCTCCCCTGCTGGCCTGGTTACCCCTCACTGCCCTGCTCTGCCAGTCTGGTTGCCCCTAAATGTTCTCCCCTGATGGCCCAGTAACCCCTAACTGCCCTCCCCTGTAGGCCTGGTTCCCCCCAACTGCCCTCCTCTCCTGACCTGGTCTCCCTCATCTGCCCTCCTCTGCTGGTCGGTCACCTCTAACTTCCCTCCCTGCTGGCCTGATTGCCCACAACAGCACTCCCCTGCAGGCTGGGTTCTCCCCCACAAAAAAATGTTCTCCCCTGCAGGCCTTTCTCCCCCCCAACTGCTCACAATTGCCCTCCCCTGCCAAACATCTTGTGGTGGCCATCTGTGTCCACATGGAGGCAGCCATCTTTGACCACTTGGGGCAGCCATCTTGTGTCTTAGAGTGGTGGTCAATTTGCATATCACTTTTTTATTAGATAGGATAGTATCTATCTATCTATCTATCTATCTAATCATCAATCATCTGCCTATCTCTACCTACCTGCATGGCATTTGGCTTCAACATTGAATTGCTACATTTTTACAATCTGCACTCATGTAGAATCAAGTGCCACTGAGGCACTTGATTCTACATGAGTGCAGTCACAACCCTGATTGTGACTTGTCTTCAGTGCCAGATCAGAGTGTGGTTCATAGGCAACACAATAAAAATATGTGGCATAAATACACAGTCCTCTAAACCACAGGTAGTGAGCATGGGAGGATGGGGGATATTGCCAGTTGAATTATATCCCCCAAAAGATATATTGAAGCCCTAACATTCAGTACCTGTAAACATGACATGATTTGAAAATAGGAACTTTAATTTCATCATTAAAGTAAGATGAAATCATGCTGCATTAGGGTGAGCCCTAAATCCATCATCACTCATGTCTCTTTAAGAAGAGGAGAGACATAGCCACAGAGGGGAGAAGCCATCTGAAGACAGAGACAGGCATTTGAGTAATACACCCTCAAGCTGAGGAACACAAGGATTGCCAGCAACCACCAGAGCCAGGAAGAGGCAAGGAGGGAGAGTCTTCAGGGGAAGTGGGCCCTGCTAACACCTCCATTTTGGATTTCCAGTCTCCAGAACTGTGAGACAACACATTTCTGTTGTTTTAAGCCACCACATTTGTGACTTTGTTATTTGAGGTCTAGGAAACCAATACAAAGACTGATTGACGATGAAATAGATGAGAAGTGGCATGGTCTGGGGGGAATGTGGGAGGAAGGCACTTGAGCTGGAATTAGGGGTGGGGTGAGGAACACATCCTGGAGGAAATGGTGCCTAAGCTAACCTCTGAAGGGAAGTGTTTCCAGGTGTACAGAGTCTTAAAATATACCAATGCCAATCTGGCTTTCAGATGCTCAGGGATGAAGTTAAGTGGAAAATGTAGCTGTTTTAAAAGTTGAATCCTCAGTATCCAGTTCTATGGATCTGAGCTCTTAGCCCTGACCCTCACAGTCCTGTAGACTCTCAAGTGTGGAAGAGATTTGTATAGATAGTCTCATCCAGCCACTCACTCAGTGCTGAAATTCCCTCCATGGTAACTCTGCATGCAGTTAGCTTCTTGTGATAAAGAATCTGTTTAGGAGGGGGGTTGTAGAGGGGGAAGTGGTTAATGGGAAACTTATATGTGTATATGCATAACCCATAGACACAGGCAATAGGGCGGTGAAGGCCTGGGAGAAGTGGGTGTGGGGTGGGAGTGAAGGTCTATTGGAGGGGGAGGGAGGGTGCATGCAGTTTAATGGATATAATTCCTATTGTCTCCTCAGCATCTGTCAGCCATTCTCTCACCAGCTGCCATAGCTCTGCCTCTAGCCTCTATAGAAAGCATGGCTAAAGCTCAGTCCATGCTGCCAAGGCCCTTCAGCTTTTGACTTCTCTGCTATAAAAGCTTTCCTGGCTTTCCCTCCACCACCAATCTTCAGAATCTTCTTCTTCTGCCCAGGTGTAATTCTTACTGTGGAATTCCCAGCACCATATCCTCTCCAACCCAATTTTAATACCTGAGGACTCTACAAAGGTTTTACAATTTGAGTGTAGTTTATTTTATTTATTATGTGATAAAAATAAGCCTCTGTGTTCATTTTTCCTGCATAAATTTGCCTCCTCCCTGATGTGGAAATTAAACTCTCTGTCTCAATTCTTTATGGTTACTCATAAAATGTTACCTTGTCTATTTATCAAAGACTACAAAGAATATCTTAAACCTCTCACCAACAGACAAGATCCTTAGAACATTAATTCTCACTACCGCTCTCTTAGTTTATATATGTACATTTTCTTTCATTTTAGCTAGTTTTTAAAAAATATATTTATTGATTACAGAGAGGAAAGGATAGGAAAGGAGAGAGAGAGAGAGAGAGAGAGAGAGAGAGAGAGAGAGAGAGAGAGAGAGAGAGAGAGAGAGAGAGAGAGATTAATGATGAAGGAAAATCATTGATCAGCTGCCTCCTGCATGCCCCACACTGGGAATTGAGTCCCCAACCTGGGCATGTGCCCTGACTGAGAATTCAACTATGACCTCCCCGAGTTCATAGGTCAATGCTCAACCACTGAGTGACGCCAGCTTGGCTTAGCTAATTTGTTTTTTATTAAACTTATACAAATTAGGCATTATCATCATTATGATTTTATCTGCTTGCTTTTCTTCCAGACTTTTTCCCTAGATTTATTTTTCCTTCTTCTAAACTAAAACTTTAGAACATTCCTTTTGTGGCCTTGTTGATAAATTTGTTTCAGTTTTATTTAACTAAGAATATTATTTCTTTGGTCCTTGTATTTGAAATATAATATTGTTGTGTTTGCAACTGTAACTCAATATATATAATTGATTTTTTACAGAGAGGAAGGGAGAGGGACAGAGAATTAGAAATATCCATGAGAGAGAAACATTGATCAGCTGTCTCCTGCACACCCACTACTGGGGATGTGCCCGCAACCACAGTACAAGCCCTTGATCGGAATTGAACCTGGGACCCTTCAGTCGATAGGCTGACACTCTATCCACTGAGCCAATCTGGTTAAGGCCCCAACTATAACGTTATATAATAGTTATTCTTCTGCTGGCACATACCACTCCATGACTGGCTTCCATGACTGCTGTTGAGAAGTTTGTTACCAACCTCACAATTATTCTTTGTGACTATCTTTCATTTCTTTCTGAGTGATTTTTAATACACTCCTTTGTCTTTAAGATTTTTCAAGTTCACCTCATTTTATCTAGAGGTAGATTTTTTAAAAACTTGTCCTGCTTGGTATAGGATGTGCTTCATGTGTCTGAGGACTTACGTTTTTCCTAAGTTCTGGAAAAGTTTCATTCATTCTCTCTTTAGATAGTGCTTTGCCTGTATTACCATTATCCTCTCCTTCTGGGATCCTTGTTTAGATGAATGTTAAACCTTTTACTTTTATCCTCTGTCTCCCTTAACCTCTCCTTACTTTATACTCATGATTCTCTTTTCTATATTTCGATATAGATTAGTATAGAGTTCTTCAAATCTACATCCAGCTCACTTATTTGTTGAGTTTTAAAAATGTATTAATTATTACTTTTTCATTTCTATAAATTCAATTCAATTTGAATTTATATGCTTGGTAATTTTTAAGTCTTTTGTTGAGTGTTAATTATTTATTAAGTTATTATATACTTTTTTATCTGGAAATTCTAATACCTGAAAGTGCTGGGAATTTAAATGTATTTTTTATGCTGACTCTTTTTCTTAGTGGTATGTTTCCTTCAGCATTTGGTGATCTTTGATTGAAACTCATATCTGGGTAATCTGAATCTGTGAAAATTCAGGGTCCTAAATTCAGGCTGCTCTCCTCCAAAAAGATTTATATTTACATTTCTTGGGAGCCAGCTCTCTTTCAGCTTTCCCAAATTAATCCCGGAGTCCCAGGTTGAGTCCGTCAAACTTGGCAATAGCTCAAGGACCAGTCTTCACATGTGAAGCTACTTTGGACCCCCATTCTCAGGGGAGCCTGTCTTTGGGTGTAATCATTTTATCATTATTCCGTCTTAATTTCTGCTCAAGCCTTTCCCAAACCTCCTATGCCAACCCTACCCACCAACAGACCCAGCTTTGGAGATTTCCATTGCTTCCTGCCAGGTCAATCGTGTTTCATAGAAGGATCCAATTTTATGTGCGTGAGATCTCCCACCCCAGACCATCCATCTGCCTGAAACAAAAATAGAATCCCTAAACATTAAAACTAAATATTCCTGATTTTTACACAGCACAAAAGCTTTTATTTTTCTGTGACTTTCAACAATTTTTACCATTTATAGTAATTTCATAAACATACTGTCAAACACACGGCCTAATGTATCATATGCATTGTTTCATTTAATTATCACAACAACCCTAGAGAGAATAACCCTAGCTCCCACACAGGTTGT